GGGCTACTGAAGTGTACATTTCCACTGCCAATATTCCACTAAATGAGCACACTATAATATACTTAATCGGTGTCATAATATGAGATATTTTTATGGTTTCCAGCTTTTTCTCTTGTAGTAACATTATGATGACAATTTCTGTACCTGAGCCCTAAAAGTGGAGCCATTATGTCTGTATTAGTGGGCTTTCTTACTACCAGGACAAAGTACCTGACATCTAAAACCCAAAGAAGGAAAGATTTAATTTGGCTCCTAGTCTATGGTTGACTGGTTTCAAGGTAGAAACATAGCTGCAGAAGAGATTGGTGGAGCACAGTCTTCTTCCTTCATTGGTGTTGGTAAACAGAGAGCAGGGAAAGAGCCCTGAAGAGGAAGGGTCAGAGAGCAGATATGATACCAAAGGTCATCCCTCCATATTGAACCTAGACACACCAGAGTGTGTTTTACTAATCTGCTAGGAATCTTGTAATCCAGGCAAGTTGACATTCAAGACTAGTTATCACCATATCTGGGAATATTTTTAGAGTTCTTGTGTGTTTGCCAAATTGCTATTGGAATCCTACTCTCTAGACCCATAACTCAGATCCCAAATCCCCATGATTTGCTTTACAGACTCCTTGCCTCAGGACTCCCATCCTATCTGAACCAATTTTTTTAATGGACTCTGACTTCAAACAGTTCTTATCCCATTACACTGTTTTCCCTTCCTTATAACACATTTCTACTGGCTATTATTTTATTAATTTACATGTTTAATTTCTTTCAGTAATTATCTTGTCTAGTTTGTTGGCTGTGGTCTTTCCACACAAAGGAGTTTCTGGCACAAAGTCTTATCAAACTGGCTGTTCAATGGAATCACCAGTGAAGGCTTTAAAATCCACTTGTCCTGATCCCATATGAAATATTTAATTATTAAATCACTTTAGCAAGAAAATGTTAAATAGCATAGTCTCTGGGAGACAGAGAATGTAGCACATACTTACAGGCATGTTTATTTACTGCTGTGTCATTGGGCCCTTGTCAAATCCTTTTTGATATACTGAATAGAGTGTGGTTATGAAAACTATGAACATTACTGAATCTGTAAAATTATCATTCTTTGACTCAAAAAAAGCAGGCCCTCCAAATTTAAAAATCCAATCCAAAAGTGGGTATCTAAAATAAATAGACAATTCTCAGATGAAGAAGTAGAAACAGCAAGTAAATATATGAAAAAAATGTTCAACATCACTGATCATTCGAGAAATGCAAATTAAAATACCACTGAGATTTCATCTCACTCCAGAAAGAACAGCTGTTATCAAGAAATCAACCAGTAACATGTGTTGGTGTGGCTGTGGGGAAAAGGGAACCCCTCTCCACTGTTGGGAGTGTAGTGTGGTGCAAAAACTGGAAATCAGTGTGGAGATTCCTCAAAGAACTAAAACTGGGGTTCCATTTGACTCAGTGATTCCTTCTTGGTATTGTTCCAAAAGCATTAAAAGCATTATACCACACTGATATAGGTACACCTATGTTTACAGTAGCACAATTTGTAATTGCTAAATCTTGGAAACAGCCCAAATACCCATCACCTGACAAGCAGATAAAAAGGTGTGGTCTTTTACACAATGGAGTACAACTCTACCATGAAGAAGGATGAGCATGAGACATTTATAGCTAAATGGATGCACCGTGGACCACACTCTAAAGTGCAATCAATTGAACACACATTTAAATACTGCATTATTTCTCTGGTGTGAGAAACTGAAAGTTGAAATAAGGACTAAAATGTACAATAGACATTGGGAAATGGGAAGAAAATGTTCAAATGAGAACAAGGGAGGGGGTAAAGGAAAAGGAAAGGAAGGGACAAGAAAACAAAAGAGAAAAACTTGAAGGAAAAATGGAAACAAAGCATTTGTACATAAGGGAGAGGAAATGGGAAAAAAGAAGCAGAAAGACATATCATGTACTGGTATAAATTCCTTCTGATGAATGTTATCATTGTGTATATCTAAAATGTAGCAATAAAAGTTTTGCTAAAAAATTATCATTCTTTGGAAAATATACAGAGAAAACTTATTGAGGGAATTTGTGTGTGTGTATGTGTGTGTGTGTGTATGTTAGTGTGTGCACGGGCGTATGCTGGGCTGTTTTGTCTTCAGTCTACAAGAGTTGAGAGGTTTAAGTCAACTTGTATGTGTGCCTCCATTATTTTCCTGTAGAAATGTCACATGCTATATACAGGATAATTCATGGTAAAATTTTACTACTTGAAAATAGACCCACATACAATTAAAAATGTTCAAGAACTCATTTAACCTAAGGGTTATTAGTATATTTATGGATTTTGAATTTTCTGTGCCACTGTGACCTATAAAGATAACTACTCAAAATGTAGTTTTTGTTCACTACCATGTTCTATATAAGTTTAGTCTAAGGAGAAAAAAATCTAGTATTTATGGCTCTCCCCAGACCAATTCAATCAGATACTCTCTGAGAATAGAATTTGGTGATTTAAATGTGCAGACAAGTTTGAGGGTCACTGACATAGAAGGATCTCAGAAATACTAATGGATGGAGAGATGACTGAAAGTACATTGTGAACTAGAAATCTAGCCTGTGGTCCCAGAATTGTCTCTCACATGCTGTGTAACTTAAGTGTGTTACTCAACTTTTCTCAACATCCATTTAAGGTTCATGCCTTTTTAGGTTCCTTCCTGATATAGAACTTCACAATTTCCCTTCTTGGTCACAGCCAGAGACTAGAGTAGTAGGACTGGGAGCAAACTAAAAACAATGATTAAGCCTTTATATATACCCTCCAGGGTAAGGTGATCCAACGAAAGCTCTTTACTGTGACATTCATTTACCCTGGACTCAGAAAGTACCTGTGAGGCACCAGAGATCTGGCAATTGGAGGAACAGCACACAGCTCTGCACTGAATACGCAGAGGTACAGATAGACCCACTGCTAATTTCCAAGTAGCCCACAAGGGACATGGAATGCATATAGGGAAATTTGGATCCATAGATGAGGGAAAACAATGTATTTGAGAGATTCCTCACAAAGCTTCTGTAATTATTTCAGGTATTCCTCAAGGCTATGCAAAGGTTCAGCTGCTCTGCTACTGTGCCTGTTTCGCTAATTTTTAAAGTATGCTGCTAACCCAAGTCTGCTGCTGTCACCCTATACAGATAATAAAAGAGGACAATTTTTTACTGGGAAAGTTAGCTGCTCATGTTTATTTAAAACTTTGCAAGGGCATTTATAGGAAGGGACCTGTGCTGTAGCCTCCTGAATCCTGTTATTCTCCAGGTCCCTTTTTTCCTGGGGTACTTCATATGCAGCTACTTAGGCTTGCCTGCTGTGTATGATTTTGCTACCTGTCTGGAGGCATCAGTACTTATGTAGTCACTCTACAGTGGTCACAAATGATCAAATCCCTCTATTTCTTCTCAGTCTATACCGTTTCAGTGAAGTACTGTGTGAAGTTTACAAAAACAAGCTATTTGGGAAATTATGAGAATGAGCATCTTAGAAACTTTTATTTGCTTCACAAGGGGTGAGCGGTAGAGGTCATATAACCCAGAAAGGAGGGTTCCCATCTCAGCACCTGTCTCATGCATTCAGATCTCTCAAATTATTGGAAACTGGGGATGGCACATAGCTTTGGGGAACATTTGCTAGCTACATATAAGAATGAAATGATGCACTTAGGGCCCTTCCAACTGTTTGTGTGCTCTTGCTCCAGACAAGCTTCTGTTTCATCAGGACAAACTCTAGGGAGTACAAAAAGTGCCATGAATTTTAAAAATGGCAGTTGCTAAGTACTTATTTTTTAAAAAAGAATTTAAGGATGTAGAGAGAGAGAGAGAGAGAGAGAGAGAGAGAGAGAGAGAGAGAGAGAGGGAGGGAGGGAGGAGGGAGAGATCTAGAGAAACCTGTTTTGACCTAAAAGGAGTTCATTGTCTCACACTACTCCCCACTCCCATAAGGCTCTGTCTTTTTACATTTTTATTTTTGTTAGTGCATTTGCAGTACATAATGATTACATTCATCGTGGAGAGTGGTCCAAGTAAACAACACATTTCTTTTCTTCATTCCCTTCCTTCCCTCTTCTCTCCCTCTATCTTTTGGTCTCCTTTCCTTTTGTAAGGTATCTCTTCTTTTTCTCCCCATTAAGTTTAATGGTACATTTAAAGCAAACAGTACAGTTACATTTATCACTGGGTAAGGTATCTCTTCTATAGCAAAAGATTTCACACTAAATACTTGTCTCCATCTCCAAAAACTGGAGTAAAAAGAAAAACTGGAGCAGCCATTTGGAGAAGGCATAGGGGGCTTGTCGCCACAGTGACAATCCTTTTATACGGGGCTATGCTCTGGTACAAACATGGGTAACATAATATAAATGATGTGGCAGCTAAAAAGACAGAGGCAAAGGAGGCGGCATTCTCAGGAATGTCCCTCCTTCAGGTAGACCCTGAGGCTAGGCATGGGGCGGAGCAGGGATGCAGGGGCTCCATCCCAAGCTAAGCGTCCCGACAACAAGATATTATAGATTCAAATTCTGGGGACGGCAGCGGGCAGGAGGAATACCTTCTTGGGGGCTACATCCTCTGGTCTATGTATCGAGAATTTGCCCAAGAGCGTTTAATCAGTGCGGGAGCCGGGCCTGGAGCTGGACTCCCCAAGCTTCTGTGTTCAGACTCTGGCCCAGGACCTCGAAGCTTCAAGCACGGCTTGCACTGAGAACAGGACTCACTTGGAGCATCTGATGCCTGGAGAAAGCAGGGGATGGAACTGGAATGAAAAATATCCTCAAGATGAAGCAAGAACACCTTTCATGAAACGCCTCGGAGGAAACTTCAGAGCGAAGACCGAGCGCCTCTCGGGGCCCACAGGACCGGAACAGGTCCTACCCTGCTCGGCGTTCCGGCCCCGCCCAGCCGCTCCGGTGCC